ATATTTAAGACATCAAGAAAAGAGAACTCCAAGAAAGGACTTTTCCAGGGTCATGTCGCTCAGTTGTGTCAGTCTTGGACCACTAGCCCCGGTCTCAGAATTGCTACTTGGTCAGTTACTGTCCTGAAAATCCAGTGACTTTCCATGGAACACTAGTGTTTTCCTAATGAGATTCAGGCTGTTCTACCACTAATACTGAATATGATGATTTCAAAACTTTCAGGGAAGATTAGCTAATGGGAAGATAGTTTTTGTTTTTTGTTTTCCCATATATATATATATATATAAATACTGAATATGATGATTTCAAAACTTTCAGGGAAGATTAGCTAATGGGAAGATAGTTTTTGTTTTTTGTTTTCCCATATATATATATATATATTTTAAGTTTTTGTGCTTGCTACCACTTACTGGCTATAGACAGCAGATGACAGAACAAATATTGAAAAAACATGAATTACTATCTACATTAAATTTAACAGCTTGTATTTCTTTTAAAGATTCATGTAGTTACTCTTGTGATTTTTTTATATTACACATATGTTGGTAGGCATATTTTTTGTTTTGCATTCAGAAACAGTCAAAGCCTAGGATATAGTAGGCAATTGTGCTTGGTTTTGGGGCTATGAAGAACAAGATTTCATCCCTCTTGGTCTCTGGTTAAGTTTAGAAATGGGAACACAAGGGGATTGGCAGTGATCAGTTCTCCTTGGGCAAGAGAGTCAGGAAAGACTTCACGGGGTAGGTGACATTTGAGCTGACTTCTAAAGATGAGTAGGTTTTCCACACGTAAAAAATGAGACCAAAATAAGTTCGTTATGGAAATGTAAGAGGCCACTGTAATTAGAACTTTGTAAACAAAGGAGAAAGGGGTGAAAAGGCCTGGCATGTTTAAGTACTAGCAGCCACAGTTCAGTATGGCTAGAGGGTGGTGTGTGAATGGGGCCATGTTGGAAGACTGTGTTAGAGAGGCATCAGGGACCCAATCAAGAATGATCTTTGTTATAATAGGAAGTTTGAACTTCATTCTTTAGGCAGTGGGGGAGCCGTTAAAATTTTTAAGCAAGAAAGTAACAGAATGACTGGTACTATGGATTTCTTATTTTTATAAGAAAACTTCACTTTAGTAAAGGAATTTCAGCCAGAGGCAGGGAAACCAGTTAGGAGACTAATACAGTAATCCCAGCAAGAATTGAAGGCCTGAAGTAACTAGAGCTATGGTAATAAAGATGGACAGGAACAAGTATCTGAAGAAACTTGATGATGGATTGAGAAGAAGAATCTAGATTGAGCTCCTGGTTTGCGACTCGTGTGACTGGGTAGATGATGGGTAAGATTACCCTTGATGGGGAAAGGAGAAAAAAAATCCATTTAGGAAGAACAGTGGTGAGTTCCATGGAGATAGATGGATATAAGAACCTGTTGGACACCCAGTAGGCTATTGGATATATGGGGGTGCCAATAAAATTTTGGAAGTCATCAGCATATAATTAACACCACTGGAGTGATGAGGTTGCCCAGAGAGCATTTAGAGCAAGAATTCTTAACCTCTGGAATCCAGATATTCTCCATTATCCAAAATAGTACATATGTGACTTTTGTTAGGGGAAGGTCCATAGCTTTCTCCAGATTCTCAAAAGCGATAAACCTTACTTGGTGTGGAAAGGGGCCAAGGACAGAGCCCCGAGTATCTGCATTAAGTGATGGGCAGGGATAGTAAGTAGTCTCAGCAAAGAAGGCAGTAAAGGAATAATAGTGAAGAGAGAAATGTGATGTCAAAGCCTAAGTCAAGTAACATGAGGACTGAAGAGTCATTGGCTTGGCAATTAGAAGACTGGTAAATTATTTCTAATAAACAAGATGGAATCAAATGTATTTGTATGTAATGAAGCTTCCCATAGAAACACTATGGCTTCTAAGAATTGTAAAAACCATTGGCCTATAAAAAAAGTTCAAATGCCTCTGTCGAGTGTTCAAGGCTAAAATTTGCTCTTGCCTTGCCGTTTAACCTCTCGCTTCAATATTCTGAACTTTAAAGCTAGCCAAATCCATCTCTTCACTGTTTTCTGGATACTTCATACAAATCTTAGCTCCAAGCTTTTGCTGGTGTTTTTCATCCTGCCTGCCCTGTTCCCTACCCAACAAATTCTATCAGTCTTTCACAGTTTGGTTTGTTCTGTTTTCTCTGTGCTCCTTTCTGACTATATTGATTTCCTTCTTTATATACTAGTGGTAATTATTGTCTTGTCTTGTCACTTAAAATTGTACCGCCTTGCATTGCTACTTACTGTACATATTATTGCCTTCTTTTCCCAGAGAGATTTTACCCCTCAAGACTAGCACTACCTTACATCTCATCACACCCCCGACACCCCCTAGTGGCTGAACTTTCATGTACTTATTTTAAATACTAAAATATTTGAATGAATTTAACCTAAGCCAAATATAGTGGGGGAAAATGTGTTTAAGACAAAATTCTTATAATGCATTCTAAATTATACAGGAGTGATTGATGGATCATTTTACAACTGTACTCCATTTCTATGGGTAATCAAGAGTTGACTGCATATCAGAATAAAATACTGATATATATGAGGCTTATGAACTTTTGGGCTTTTATTTGGAATTTCTAATGAATTTAATTAAATTTGTTAGGCCAAACTAATTTTTCTGTGTAAAATTACCAATTTTTCAAAATGGAAATATCTTTTTTGGATTTAAAGTAAAACGCACTTACTAAAATAAGTCTACAAAGTAGAAATAAAATATTACTAGTATTTCTATACTATTTTGCCAAAGGCACTCATGTTTTATAAACATCTTTACCATCTGTAAATTAAATAGGTACTGATGGTATTAACATACAAAACAGTCACTAACAATGCAGCTGGCTCATTACTAAACAATATATGTTACTTTGGAAGCTGACTTCAGAGGTTGGTGTTACTGGTTTTGCTGAATGATAATTTAGCTTAATCATCTGATTTGAAGCCAGTGTTTCTGTTTCTTCCATTATTTGCTGACAACTGTTGGCATAATCCAGGGTATGGTAGGAAAAACTGTAGCAGAAAAAAAAAAGGGCCAGAGTTGCACTGCTTTATTCCAGAGTCAGAAAAATTAAAAACTTTCCTAGATAAGAAGTAGAATAGATATGTTAGATACTGCCACGTGGGTCACATTATTGTTGAGCAGATATCTACTAACATAAATCCTAAGTTGTAGTAGTTACCTGACAGGAGGGGGAAATCCATGTTACACTTAGTGAGCCAGTTTGACTAACACTTAAATATGTCTAACTAAGCTTTTCCTTTTTTTCCCTGAAATCACAGTATGTATTTTCAAGAAAGTACAGTTTTTTGCATATCCTCACACCTTAATTTAACCACATTTTTTAAACAGGTAAAGCATATTTTGACCATTTTCATAAAGAAGGAAAGTTAATTCACAAGCAGTGTTGCTTTTTGAGTAGAATATACTAAAACATTGAGACGAATCAGTGGGAAGAAAATAAACTTAATCACTGGCTGAGTGATTTGCTTCAGCAGAGCTGCCTCGGGGCTCCTTTTCCCCAGTTTGTGCCTCAGTAACATTTCCTAAACCTTCCAGGTTATATGGCATTAATCAATAATAAAACAAGTGTTATACATACCCTTTATAATAAAAACTGTTAAAAATTTCAGGAAAAAGCAAATGTATCCCAGTTAGGTTTTTAATCCATATCTATGATTTAAAACAACTAAAAACTGTAGAATATACAGTTTAATCATTTTCATATTTTAGAGTGTGGGTATATGTGAGTTATTCCAGAGGACAAAGAAAAAAATTGAAGGGCTTTAGAATTTTTTTTATTATACACACTTAACTACCTTTTTAAAGAGAAACTTAACATGGCATTGCCTGATTTTAAGGGAAGAGAACCTAGTCAAGTCACTGGGGTAGGAAGGCAAAATTCTAGGGACCATGGTGGCCACAACAGCAGTCTGAGGGATAAATCAAAATGTTTGGTGTTAGGTGGCTTGAGTGCCTGCTACCTAATCCATTCACAGGTGAGTCTAAATAAGGTAAGAATTCTCTGGAATCGTGATGTCTGTCCAGTAGAAACAATATAAGCTACATATATAATTTTAAATTTTCTAGTAATCACATTAAACAAGTGAAATGAAACAGGTGAGACTGCTTTCAAGAATATATTGGGGGCACCTGGCTGGCTCAGTCGGTAGAGTGTGTGACTCTTGATCTCGGGCTTGTGAGTTTGAGCCCCACGTTGGGCATAGAGAGGACTTTAAACAAATCTTTAAAAAGTAATAATACATTTAATCCAATAAAAGCAAAATATTTCAGTATGTAATCAGTATTTTTCAAATGTTAAAAAATATTTTACTTTTTTGTGTGTTTAGTGTTTGTAATTCAGTGTGTATTGCACTTAAAGCACATCTCAATTTGGACTAGTCACATTTCAGGTGCTTGATAGCTACATGCTGCTAGGAATGACTGTATTGGACATGGTGTCTCTAGAACATCTAAGGGATGTGTGCCCATGATATTGAGAAATAGAACTTGCCTTATATCCAGTGTAAAATATTAAAATTACCTGCCTTAGAGGATACCTACATCTGTGCTGGCCAAGTGAAGCACTAATGTAGGTCATAAATTGTTAGTTTTGAGACTACCTGTTTCCATGATCAAGATAAATACGAAATACGACTTTAATAATTACTGTTTGGTAAGATATTCATGAATTTCAGTACTCTTATATTCACGTGCAATTCTTTTACTGTGCTCAAACATACTATGCCACAACTAAATTCTATACCTAATTTATGTAATATAAAGAAAAAAGTTTTATGTTTTGTATTGCATCCACTAGAAACCTCTGACTCAATATATTCTGAACTTTATTAAGAAGAATGATAATGGCTACCTTACTCTTTAAGATATTAAATTATTTTAAGTAATTAGGACTGTCATAATCTGATTTCAATTTTCTTTTATATTTTAAGGATATGGAGTATTATCTTGTAAAATGGAAAGGATGGCCAGATTCTACAAATACTTGGGAACCTTTGCAAAATCTCAAGTGCCCGTTACTACTTCAACAGTTCTCTAATGACAAGCATAATTATTTATCTCAGGTAAACAAAGGCAAAGCAATATCTCTAAAAGACAATAACAAAGCTTTGAAACCTGCCGTTGCCGAATATATTGTAAAGAAGGCCAAACAAAGGGTAGCTCTGCAGAGATGGCAAGATGAACTCAACAGAAGAAAGAATCATAAAGGAATGATTTTTGTTGAAAATACTGTTGACTTAGAGGGCCCACCTTCAGACTTCTACTACATTAATGAATACAAACCAGCTCCTGGAATCAGCTTAGTCAATGAAGCTACCTTTGGTTGTTCATGTACAGACTGCTTCTTTGAGAAATGTTGTCCTGCTGAAGCTGGAGTTCTTTTGGCTTATAATAAAAACCAGCAAATTAAAATCCCACCTGGTACCCCCATTTATGAATGCAACTCAAGGTGTCAATGTGGACCCGATTGTCCCAATAGGATTGTACAAAAAGGCACCCAGTATTCTCTTTGCATCTTTCGAACTAGCAATGGCTGTGGCTGGGGTGTAAAAACCCTTGTGAAGATTAAAAGAATGAGTTTTGTCATGGAATATGTTGGAGAGGTATGTTCAACTTAAAACAAACAATGGGTGTGGAAGGTTTATGCTTTTTTTACATCAGTAACAAATATTGGTACATTTTTATATTACCATTTGCAAGTGAGAGAAGGGTTCACTGGCATAGTTAGAAATACAAACTTGTATATGAACAAAAATATATCTATAATGACAAACAAAATAGTCCTCTTTCAGAAACACCCATTCATAGTCATTGAAACTGGCATTTGTAAAATATGGCGACTGTTTTTTACATAAAAGCCCTAAGAAGAAAATCAGATCTAAACACCTGCTGACTTTGAAAACTTTTAGATTATAATTCATCCACTTGACTAAACATGGTTAAGTGTAGTTGGCAAAACTCAGTATCATATCAACATGAGAGATACTGTAAGGTAGAAAAATGCTTTCTTAGGAAGTGTTGTAAAATAACCTTAAAAGCATTTATTGAATCCACCAGAAAATCCAAATTCTTTGTAGCTCAGCTGGAGACTATTCTCTAAATTACCAGACTGAGCAAATTTATTTTTATATGTATAATGTAAATATACAAAAAATAGTATTTGCATGTACCACATAATATTCTAAGCACCTGACGTTTTAACTCCTTAATACTCTCAATAACTATGAGATAGTAGTGTTGTCTCCATTATTATAGATGAGGAAACAGACACAGAGAAGTTCAGCAACCTGCACAAGGTCACATTGTAGTGAAGAGGAGCCAGGATTCAAAACCAAGGCTCCAAGATGAGTGCACTTTGCCGCTGCACTACACTTCCTCAAACTGAGTGAAGGACTAAGCTGTGACTAGAAAATACAAGTGTGACTGCATATCTCAGGTTGTCACATCTGACATTTTAAAGGTTATGTGGAACTAAGTCATGTATAATTATCTGTATTCATCTAGAATTCTGAGATTAAATTGGAACCCTACTTCGATCCTTCAATTTTTAGACAATGGCAGATTATTGTAAATCACTGTTCGGGATACCAGATCTTGTATAATCAAATTCCTCTCTGTTTTGGCTTACTGAATGCCGTAGTTAAATCTGGTTGACACCATGAATCAGTTTAGACATTTTTGGTTTCCTAAACTGAGCATCTGGTAAAGCTGTGTTCTTAGAACAGAACTGTAGATGATGGTTTTGAGCTACAGAATTTCATGAAAACAAGAGTGTCATCAAAACAAATATTCACACAAACTACTCTAGAAGAGCTGGATGGAAAGATGTAGAAAACTAAGGGCAGAAATGACTGCAAAAGAATCAAGGCTGTTTAAGACAGGAATTAGGACAACCCACAGTTAACAAATTGAGACAGTACTACATTCATTCCAATTTATTCAGATGTTCAAAAAGCTACCCAATTATAGCTTTCTGTAGGACATAACGGAATGCAAGGACTAAATTTACAAGATACTCATTTGCAACAATGTGTATGGAACTAGAGAATATTATGCCTACTCTATGAAACTAAACTTTCCATACAATTGACTGCAAATTTAGCATGCCGCCTTTCCTGTATTTGTAACAGATTTCCATTTGTAACTGCACAAATTACAGGAAAAATAAGCTTTTAGAGTATCTTTACTTTTTTTTTTAATTAACATATAATTTATTACTGGTTTCAGAGGTGCAGGTCTGTGATTCATCAGTCTTATATAATACCCAGTGCTCATTACATCACATGCCCTCCTTAATGCCCATCACCCAGTTACCTCATCCCTCTGCCCCTCTCCCCTTCAGCAACCCTGTTTGTTTCCTATGATTAAGAGTCTCTTATGGTTTGTCTCCCTCTCTGGTTTCACCTTGTTTTATTTTTTCCTCTCTTCCCCTATGATCCTCTGTTTTGTTTCTTAAATTCCACATATAGGTAAGGTCATATAATTGTCTTTCTCTGATTGACTTATTTCGCTTAGCATAATACTTTGTAGGCATTAGTATGTTAATTTATGGATGAGTGTGTTTCTTCAGTTCAACAATAGCTATATAATATACTGTAGTTTTTTCTTTTTAGGTAATCACAAGTGAAGAAGCTGAAAGACGGGGGCAGTTATATGACAACAAGGGAATCACATATCTCTTTGATCTGGATTATGAATCTGATGAATTCACTGTGGATGCAGCCCGATATGGAAATGTCTCTCATTTTGTGAATCACAGTGTAAGTGATGCTTAAAGAATAGACAGGACTAATCAACTTAGCACTGTTTTTAATGATTTTCCATAGTTGAGAAATAATTATCTTTAAATTACTTACCCTTTTAATATTTCCAAAGTATAATACAAAGACCTCTTTGGTTAGGTTATGGTATTACTGCCGTATTAGGAAAATTCATTGAGGTGCCTACCAAATACCATGCATTTTGCAAGAGTTTTTATGTATGTTACTTTATTTAATCATTCCAAAACTTTGTAAGTTAGGTTTTGTGTTAATGTAGAGGACAAAGTTAGCGGAGGAATTAAGAGGTAGAAGGGTTAGGAATCACATGCAACTGTAGAAGTTAACATGTAACTTGTTAACATATTTATAAAATTTAAGAATTTGTAGAGTAAGTATTTAGGGCTATTTTTCTAAGCCTAAGCCTAATTTTCTAATTTTTAATTCATGTTTGAAAAGAACTTAGAATACAGCTGGAACCCTGATTGTAGAATTTTATACTCTATAAACTATTTCTAAAAATAAGGGAGTTGAATAGTTACTGGGTACCTACTAAGTGCCAACAGATAAGGGTAAGTTATGTAACTGCCCATATAAGAAAGTAGGCCATGCTAAAGTTATGATGGATTTTATACCAAGAAACTAGTTTATGTTTGGTAGTGAAATGTCAGAAACCTTCTGACTCATTTGTTGTGAGTTTTATTTTTAATTTTTTTCTTTTTAATTTTTTTTAAATTTTTTTTCTTAATGATAAATTTGAGATACTCTCAAAACAGATGTATTCTATATAAGGACAATTAAACACGTATTTTGATTTCTTAGGATGATTCACTAGATGTTTCTTCTTGCATTGTCCAGAATTTAATGTAGAATTCTCAAAATATTAAACAATTCCAAACAGAGGTTAAAGCAGTGAAACTCCATGCAGTATAAAATTTGAGTTGTATAATGCTGACTTGATTTTTTAAATAGTTATATTCTATTTCACGTTACTTACTTTTCTCTGTATCACGTTACTAACTGAAATGAACTACATACAGGTGAAATGATAATGTTATCTAGGGTTTGCATGACAAGTCCTCAGAAAAGTTAAAAGGTTGAGACTAGATGAAACAGAATTGGTAAAAATGTTAATAATTGTTAAAGCTGCAGGGTGAATATATGTGGATTTATTATTTTCGCTAGTGTTGTGTATGTCTGAGATTTTCTATAAGTGAAAACAGTATTTTTTAATTTGCGTGCCTCAAAGACCACTAAACAATCAACAGTGTAATTTCTAATAGAACTTAAAAAATAATAGTCGAGAAATTATTTTATATGGAATGTAGAAGAGCCTGTTCATGTCATTTTTACTTAAATGGGTTCTAATGTTCCTTCTTAGTGTGACCCAAATCTTCAGGTGTTCAATGTTTTCATTGACAACCTTGACACCCGTCTTCCCCGAATAGCATTATTTTCCACAAGAACCATAAATGCTGGAGAAGAGCTCACCTTTGACTATCAAATGAAAGGTATGGTTTTCAAGTACAGTTTGATTGGTGTTCAGTTGTTTCAATATGAAGAATCAGAGTAGAAAAAGACCTGAACCAAAAGATCCGAACCAAGCAAATATTAAAGAAGAGAAAAAATGAGGCTATAAGAGTTTGTCATTTTACTCAAGGTCACAAAGCTAATCTGACAGAGGTAAAACTAGAATCCAGGTCTGCCTGACCTTGAGCTGAGTAGTGCTCTTTTCTCTGTATCACGTTGCCACCTGCTTTTTTCATAATTCCCATTATGAAAGCTTATCATATACATCTTTTCTCAATATTACTTGTATTTTAAAATTGTAAGGCATACATTTCTGAATATTTACTATGAGATTGAAAATACGACTTAAATCACAAGTGAACTTATTCCATTCCTACTTGGATTTGGCTTTTTTTTTTAAAAAAAAAATGGTACTTTTATTTGCTTTATTGTGACAATATTTTTTTTCTTTGTTTTTTCTAAGTATTAATTACAGGATGTTACTATTTGGCCTTGCTTTATGGCCCTTAAGGAATGTATGAAACTGAATGATTGTGTATCGGATTTTCCCAGTTAAGTTCCATCATTTCCGAAAGCTATTCTTTTAAGTATGGGCTAATAGCATAAGCTTTTATCTCTTACTAGCCCACACAATCCTTTCAAGATAATTCATAATGATTTGTCTCTGAATATTTACATTTACTTAAAACTGATAGAAAATTTGAACTTCCTCCTGAATTGTCTTAATTCTTACTTCTGTATTTCTTTTTCTATGTAATCAGGTTCTGGAGATATATCTTCAGATTCTGTTGACCACAGCCCAGCCAAAAAGAGGGTCAGAACTGTGTGCAAGTGTGGAGCTGTGACTTGCAGAGGTTACCTCAACTGAATTTTCAGGAAATAGAGCTGATGATTGTAGTTTTGTTTTTTTTCTAATGTTAACATTTCAAAAAAGTATTTGGGACTCTTTTCATATTATCAAGATTATATGCTATGTTAATTTACAGTTCATATTTCAAACTATTGGCCAAATGTATTACTGATGCTTCTGAAGAGAACAACACAGGGTCACATAGACTAATTTGAAATACATATTTAGTAATTAGGTACCAAACATGAAAACTATTTACAGATGAGCATATACATACATAAAAAGTCTGTGTGAATAAAGAAATGCCTCCTTCAGTGTTTAAGCATTGAACTGATAGCGTAACAGTCACTAAGATCAAATATTCAACCTGCGTACACCTTGAATTTAGAGAAAGTTAATTCAGTTAGGGCAAATATATACAAGTGCTATTCTGTTATGTTGTCATTCCCATTATTACTCACTGTACTTGTATTTGAGACAGATGATACTATATACTATTTTCCTACTTTCATTAAAATATTGGGTCTTACTGATACATAAATTTAAGGTTTAAAATTAAATATAAAAAATTTACAGCTTAATTCATATTTTGAAGCAATCTTGACTGTTATGAGGCATGTATGTCTGAACCAGTAATTCTTAAAGACTTTTATTCCCTTAAAAGAATAGTTTCCAAAAAGTTCTACAATTCTAGAATGGCTGGCCATTATGCTGCTTCGAAAGGCTGGGGCAGTGGGACCACAAAAGGGTTTTTGGAGTGCTGGGCAGAAGGAAGGGAGCACTTGAAGGGCCCCTCTTAGTAACATGAATTAAGAGATCCATGTTGAGTTCCTCTGGTCTAAACATAAACAGCAAAACAAGCTACCCCTGAGTGCAGTTGCACCTAACAATAATGTTTCATACAATACATTAATATTACATTTCTGAATTTCAGGCAGTTTTAACATTTCCACCAAATTTAATTATTTTTCTATTTCCTGCAGGCTCTTAAAATACTCTATATTTTGAACTGATACTTATTTTTTATACATGAATTTTTTAAATGTGATAAAGCTAAACTTGGCTTGGCCAAAGTGTGTACCTGAATAATGAGAACTTTTTTTACTTAAACCATGAAGACTGAAATGGAATATATTCCTTGGTTTTTGTTTTCCTGCATAGTAAAACCTCAATCAGGAAAAAAACGTGTTTTCATCTCTGTCATTGTGGCATTTGTAATCATGGTGTCCAACATGAAGGTAAATGCAGCAAGTAAATCTGGCTTTCAGTATTACTAATTAAATTGTACCTAAGTTCATTGCCCCATTGCTTTAATGACCTAAAATAAGTTTGGGTAAAATTGAACTGACTTCAAGAATGCAGCACTTCAAATATCTTCTTAATCTTTAACCTCTTTTTTGGGAGAAGCTACACTTTATTATGCATTATATTGCTACCACATGACTTTGCTCTTTCATAATACAGGGTAAATTCTTTACATGTTTGGAGTCTCAGTGTATTAACCAAAATCTGCAGAAGGTGTCAAGGAAAAATACATTTTTTGGTGCCATTTCTTATGTTTTCTTTATGACAAAATAGTCACATGGTGTCAGTGGTGAGAAAGCATCACAGATTTACAGGTGCTCCAATGGCCAAGCTTACTTTGAATTATAATTTTTACAGGTTTAAATATGTAATTTTAATATTCTTAAAAAGTCAGTGTTTTACTGTCCAGTTATTCTTGTCTACTTCTTGTGTTAAAAAAAAAATGTGAAACAGGAGGGCAAAGGGAAAGTGGCTATTTTCAGTAAACTTGTTTAATTTTGTCCTTATTACTAGAAATTTAATGGGTCTTTGAGATTTTAATTACCTTTGTTATCCTTATTTTATTAAAAAGCTGGACTTAATCAGTAAAATAGGAACTCCGTACATGAAGCTGTTAAAAGCCTTTAAGTCAACATTTAGCTTCTTTAGTTTCCCAAGTTATCAGAATTTGTTCTCTCAGTATAAATATAGCCAATATTCAAGGGTAATATTTAGATCGAGTTTAAACTGTAAATCCACTGTGCAAGTTGTATTAGTATCATTGTTTTCAGTACCTACATGAGGATCGTGATACACAGTTGGTAATCTCAGGGTCTTTTCCCCCTCTGTGCAAAATCTAAACCGCATTTTTCTTACAGTTCATTTTTCTTTAGCAAAATAAATTTAGTTTGGCATTTGATTTTCTATTTATCGTGGCTTAGCTTTGTTTCTGAATATTTTACGTCATTTCCAGTAAGGCTTACAAAAGGGTCAAAAAAACACCCATGCATTCTGGACTACTTGCTTCTGCGATTAACCGAAGGTTTTTATACCATTTCTTCAAAGAAGTTTATCATTGTCATGGTTGATCCATTTGAATATTAAAGTAGAATTTTACATAGCATAAAGTGAATATGGATGGATACTTGTAAAACGTCTTGAGCATTATTAGTCACCAGGTTACTTGAACACATTGTGCTAAATAAAAACTGCCTGGAACTGTAAGGGAATTTTAGATGGAAAGCTCCTATTCTTTGAGCAAGCTATTAGGCCCTTTCTGTGTGCTCCTCATAAACCCATGAGGCTGGCACTCTCAATCCTATACTGGTTAGGTAACATTAACACACCCAAGATCACCAGCTCGGAGCCAGTGAACTACCTGACTATAATGTCCTCAATTTTGTACTGTTAGTTTAAACGTGTAACTCTTGGATTCCTCTCTAAGGCAAATGTGGCTAGTCACGGGGCTGTTTCTATGATTATCTTGGCATTTTGAAACTTTTTTTCACTTTTTCTTTTCTACTTTACAGTTCTTAAAGTAAAAATCAAGTAGCCACTAGAATTAACCCTGCCCAGGGCTGTGCTCTTTTTCAGAGGCATTATTACATAGTGGCTAAGACCATGGACGCTGAGCTTGAATTGCCTGCGTTTTCAGTCCCAGCTTCATCCCTTCCCAGCTATGTGAACTACCTCTCTGTGCCTTAGCTTCCTCATTTGTGAATGGGGAGAATAAATTTATCTACCTCAAAGGGTGGTGGTGAGGAATAAAGGAGTTGATATCCAGTGTGTAAAAGAATGAAGCATCACAGAGTAAGCACCATATGTAAGTATTTGCTACAATTATTCTGTACTGTAAGCCTGTACTTTAAAATCTTTGGTGATCACTACAAGTTGTTTTGTGTTCTGTTTTGTTTTTTTAAGTTCTAGTGCTCCTAGCGCTTAAATTCATTCAGCTGGCATTTATTATGCTAGGTTCACCTATAAAACAATGAGAATACGGCAGGATGTAATATTAAATTGACAGTGTGATTATAAAGTGCTAAAAATTTCAGAAGAATGTTTCCAGGCACGTTTTGAATCCCCACTCTGGGTTATAAGCTAGACTGTTAAGATGAGGTCTTTGGTGTCATTGAATATATAGTTACATTTGATTATATGATTTGTAATAATGAAATGTAACTAATTTTTAGAGCTATAAATAAAAAATGAAGTCTCTGGGTTCTTGTATTAGGCCTGTTGTAGTTATGACTTGATATTCAACCAATGATCTGCAATCCCTTCTGGTCTCTTTAGTGGTTTTATATTCACTTTGCATTTAGGTAATGGTACTCATAGGAGAGAGCGGTAAAATGGGATGAATGTATTTTTACCCTAGTCATACTGAGTCTGTGGAATGTATTTCATCAAAAGCTGGGAGTAGCTCCTGAGCTAGAAAAAAGGGATCAATCAGTGCGGCATGGTGATAATGTATATCATTTAGTTTAATTGATCTGCAAATTGTTTTAGACTCCACTTAAACTCTTTTTTTTTTTCCCCACTTAAACTCGTTTTAAGTGAAATCTCTCCTTTTGCTTCCTTAATCTGTAAAATGCCAGCATACCTCAAAGTGTTGAAGAATATTTGTTAACAGAACTTTATTAAACACATAACTATGCAAAAACATAACCCACTGACAGACTTGAAGGAAATCAAACAACTCACAGAACACACTTATGCTTTTGCCATTTAATTATTTTCTTTTAGGTCCTAATTTTTCTGCTTTTAAATTTGTCATTCACACCAGCATTCTTAAGTGGTGTATCTTTTGAGATCTATAAGTGCCTGATTTTTTGAAGTGTTTTTATGACCCTACAGAATATGGTCGTCTATCGTGGTCAATGTGCCATGGGCACGTCTGTTGTTGGGTGGAGTGTTCTGTGTCAATTAGATCCAGTTGGTCAATGGTGCTATTCAGTTCTTCTATATCCTTGCTCACTTTCTGTACGCTAATTCTATTACTGATAGAGGAATGGTAGACTCTCCAGCCAGAATTGTGCATTAGTTTGTCTTTCTCCTTGGTTTTTGCTTTGTATATTTTGAAGATGTTTTTAGGTACATACACATTTAGCATTGTGTCTTCTTAGTGAACTGGACCTTTTATCATTAGAAATTTGTGTGATATTAATATAGTCATTCCAGCTTACTTTTAAGTAGTATTTAGATATCTTTTCCCATCCTTTACTTTTAACCTACCTGCATCATTCACAGTGAGTTTCTTAGTGAAAAAATCATCCCTCCTAGATGCAGTCTCTATGTTTTCATTGGTGTCTTTTGACCATTTTCACTTAATTTGTAATTATTGATGTCTGGAATTAGTTCTACCATATCTTTTCTGTTTATCACTATTTTTTGTTCTCTGCTTCCCCTTTACTGCCCTGTTTTAGGTTACAGGACCATTTTTAAGTACTCCACTCTGATGTGTCTGTTATGATTTGGACTCTTACCTCTTTGTGTAGGGTTTTTTGTGTAGGGTTTTTAGTGGTTGCTCTAGAACATAAGGTTTTTAAGTATCTAAGAGTGAGCTTTTTCTTTCTTCAATGACTATATTCTCACCGGTTGCCAGCTTCTCATACAAATATTGTAAATGCTCTCCTTTAGGTAGCTCAGCTTCTGGTGTTGAGGGAATTTCAAAATCTGAGCTCTGGGAATCTGCATTGGTGCTAAGATTTAGCAGCCTTTTCTCCTGAGGTACGTGTTTGTAACTGCTTAGAGCGGTTGGTTCTCCAACACTGGGAACTATCTTTACATTTTGATCTCTATGTTTCAAGTCAGAGTAAGTATCCTTTGGACAAAGTATATTTTGTTCCATCTGAGTGGCAGGAATATTCTCTTTAATTCTTGGTCTGTAGCTACCTTTGTTTAAGGAGGTAATATCCCCACTCTTTCTCTCTTGGGATGTTAACAAAACAGTATCAGATTGGCTGTCCCAGCCTTGACTCCCTTGTTCAGATATGTGTGTTGACTGAGAAGAATTCTGGGAAGAGATGTGAGTTGATTCCCCATCAGAGTCACTAAAAAGCTTCGGTGACTGAGAGCCCCCTGCCTCTGTGGAAGAAGGGGGGTTTTCCAAACCGTCATCTGTGATTTCATCATTTCTTTTAAAGAATACTTCCCACTGTGGTACTTCTACATCAGCCTTTTGCTGGTGGTGTGTGACAGCACCCAGGTCTTCTTGCGATGAAGCTGGGGTTTGTAATTCTTCCTCACTTTCGCTGTTAGATTCTTCACAATCTATAAAGTTGGCCCAAGGAAAGGTTTGCGCACTCTCTGCCCTGAGGTGGCCTGTGCTTGGCCTCTGTTGTTCAGGCTGGTTCTGTGGTGTTGCGGTCATTACAAATACCTCAGGGTGAACAGCTAGCTGGTATGGAGCCTTGTGCCTTAACGGTAACGGCAAAGGATCATCAAAGAGCTCATCCTCCTCCTCTGTGGGAAAACACGGGAGATAGATATATGGGAAACACGGAATGCAAAGGGAGCCGATTTGTGCTTTTAATTTAAAATCCATTTAGCTATGTTTTCATTTGGTGGAACTGCAAATAACAGTTCACTCTTCTTCTAAGAAAAAGGATATTTTGAACAATTTAACTACTGCCTGTCTACTAATGGCAGACTTTGAGTTCCCCAAATAGGCCACAATGCCTATACCAATGGTTCTCAAACCTGGCTGTTCATTAGCCTCATTTGGAAAGCTTTTTATTTTTTATTCATTTATTTAAGTAATCTATATCCACCCTGGGGCTCAGACTCACGACCCTGAGATCAAGAGTTGCATGCTCTTCTGACTGAACCAGCCAGGAGCCCCTGGAAACCCTTCTTAAAAAATACAGCTTTCTAGATCTCATTCCAGACCTCCTGAATCCCTGAAGGTGGGACCCAGTAATTTGCAAACTGTATGTGCTTGGCCAATAGTAGATACTCAGTGAATTGGCTGAAATAAAAATCTTTCTACCATTTTTGTTCTGTAAACATTTTGATACCTACTTTGTGCATGTTATGGGCTAAAATGGTTGTGTCCTCAAAAGTTCCTAATTTGAAGCCCTAGCCCCAGGTGTCATGGTATTTGGAGGTGGGACCCATAAGATGGGATTAGTGTCTTCGTAAGAAGAGGAAGACAGATTTCTCACTTTCCTTTTTTATGCATGGATGGCATGTGGAAAGGCCAGGTGAGCACACACTGAGGAGGAGGCTGTCAACAACCAGGAAATGGGTCCTCTCCAAGAACCAAATATGCTGGCACCTTGACCTTGGACATCCCAGCCTCCAGAACTGTGAGAAGTAAATATCTGTTGCTAAGTCATCCAGTCTCTGGTATTTAATAGTCATAGCAGCCTGAGCCAGCCACGTGCACAAGGCTGTGATAGATACTGAGGGGAACAAATGTGCCATATGGGGCTTAATTTGAACTGAAAACCAACGAATTTACTGATTTTTTTTTTTTTTAAAGCATGTTACATTAGCAATATAATGAGCCAATCCCCTTAAATTCTTAAAAGGAGGAAACCTTACTTGGAGAATGAAATTCTCATAAACTGAGTAGGCATGTAATTTGGAGGGCGGTGTGGGAAACATATTTTCCTGCCTTCTAATGACACCTAAGAAGAAAATTAAATGCTCATGAGACTACTGTCCATGGCAACTTAATTGTTCTAGTGATAACTACCTACTTAAAAAGAAAACATTTTTTCCCAGTGATAAAGGATGTAGCTAAACACTCCATTTTTAAAAGCCGCCTCAGAGATCATCCTGCTCACATTTTACCAATGTGGAGACCAGCCTAGAGAAGTGGTGTGACAAGACTCTGGGTCAAAACCCGATCAGTTTGATTCCTGGCTCTGCCTAATCCTTAAGCAACGATTTATCTCCTTTCCTGAAGGACTTAAGGTTACTAAGATGTCTAGCAACTATATTTGGAATCATTCTCAGCTCCAAGATAGGGCCTTCTTTCAAAACATGGATTATAAATTTGTTTCCGCCACAGTTACGTTTTAGGCAGTATTTCTGTATCGTCTCTAAGTTGAACGGTTTCCTATTCTTCAAGATTAGTGACTATACCACTATCACGGTATGTTTCAACTGTAAAAATGTGGCAAAACATTTTCATATTAATTCATCGGTATGTATCTAAAAAACAGTTTCTGTACTACCAAGTCTACTGTGATACTATGAATTCTCTTATGACAATATAAATATAAAATTTCTCTATGAAAACGGAGAGGCATATAACAGAAAGTAAGTGTTAAAACCCTTAGTAGCATTTACACAAGCTAATAAACACACCTAAACCCAATTTTAAAAAGGACATATTACAATTCTTAGATACTTTCCACCGTCATGTCTGTATAACCATACTGGACAACTGGACAACAAATCTACAATTTAACCCAATAATGAGCGGTATAAAACAGACTTGAAGTTAAATGTACAAAGATGAAATACACCATTATATAGCCATAATGCAAAATCTGAGAGTGGGTCCTAGGCCCACCTCTGCCCAATGCAGCTTTCACCAGACCAGAGTGGAAAAAAGGTGTTTTTTTTGTTTTTTTTTTTTTAAAGATTTTATTTATTTATTTGAGACAGAGAGAATGAGAGAGACAGAGAGCACATGAGAGGGGGAAGGGTCAGA